TTCTTTAATTTTTTCGAGGTTTTTTTATCTAATTGTTATATTGTTTTTGTAGACTTTTATTATATTAATAATGCATTATTTTTGTAATTCAAGTTGTTTATAAAAAAAGAAAAAAAAATATACACCACATCATATCCACAAATTAAAACTTGAGAAGTAATTTAGGGAAAATATTATTTTGTCTTAGTTTATCCTTTAAATAATTAATTTTTTTTCATAATTCTCTCAAAGAATAAAAAATATTATAATAGAGTCTACCTTTTTATTTTGTTTGATGGTTTGTTTGTTTTGTATTAAATCAACTAATAATGAATCACAAAATAGATAGACGATCAAACAAAAATAAAATGGAGAACACATTATAATTTTTTTTTGACGAAAAAATATATAAAAATTAATTATTTAGGAGACAAAATAATTTTTTTTTTAATCTTTCAGGACAAAATGAGATTTTTTCAAGTAATTTATTACAATAGGGAAAATTACAGTACAACTACTGATGAAACACCACCCAAAAGATCAACAACTTTTAGAACCTTCACTTTGTATTGTGGGGCACAAATGTCTCAATCTGGGTGCAATAGGCCCAGAGTCAAAACACTATAGTTGTACGATGGGGTTGTCGGCTTGTCGTACTTGGGTAACAGTTGATTCGCAAGTGACGACGTCTCACCATCTTCATAATAAATTAGAGAGAGATATTCAATTATTAAATTAGCATATAAAGTTAAGACACATTCAACTTAAAAACCCAAATTACCCCTACCATAACAAAACAAAAAACAATAACTCCCAATAAATAAAAAAAACAAATATGTGGATAATTGATAAATCTATAATATAAAACATGACAGATTTTAATAAATTTATCTAACGATCTTAAATAAATTTATCTAACGGTCACCAACATTCCGCTCAAAACGATTCACATCGAATTTTTTTTTTCAAATCTATTATTTCTCACTTACGTTCATTATGTGAATATTGTTTATTTAGGCGAATCAACCTTTAATATGTATTAATATTAAAATGATTTATTACCCGATGACAAAGTAATAGATTTTGAATGAGCTAATGATATGATCAACTAAACATGTGTGGTCCGGTTTACTTGAGAATCAAGTTGATAGATTGGGTAATTAGACCAATCAAGGTTATGTAGTAGTAGTAGTAGTATTAATTTTGCCATTGTTTTTTACTGAAATTGTCTTTTTTTTTTCTTTGACAAACATGTCCAAATCTCCTCAAGGATCCGACTAATAATTTGACACATTTTTTTTTAATAAATTGCTTCAAGTTTTTATTATAAATTAATTTAATTATGAATTCAATGTGAATCACGTTACACAATGAGATGATAATCAAATGAATGCTAAAAAATTATAATGTAATTGATGATGCATAAAACGGTCTTATGCAATATCGTTAATCGAGTGTGTGATTAAATGTAATTAATAGACAATTAATAGAGCAATGAATGACAATAATGTAAATATCAGGTCAATTTACAGATATATAGTGGTTCAGTCCGAATGACCTACTTCACTCCGAAAAATGGTAACGGTGGTTGACAGACTTTTTACTGATTAAATAAGGTGAATGAAAGAGAGAACAATGGTTAGCCTCGAGAGGGATACAATAGTTAAGAGAGAGAAAAATTATGTGTGGGGTGTGTAAAGAGATGTCTTCTCATGTAGAGATAGCTTACAATTTAACACATAGAGTTTTAGTTGAGACGGTGATGTGAGGATAAATGCACTAGATCTTTAAGAGTTACAAAGATAAGTACAATTAAAGGTTATCTTGATATTCAATAGTGAGTATCCCGATAATTGCTCATCAAGTGCTCTAATTCTTCTGAACCCCTTAAACTCTGGACCGAGCCGAATTCGTGAATTGGATTTGAACCGTTTTATAATTGATTTGAGCCTAGCTCATTAATTGGGCCTAACCCAATTAAATATGGGCTCGTCAGTAATCTTTGGCCCCTTAGGTAAATATATAGTTGAAGTAAAAAATTTTGATCCTATACCATCTATTACTTTTTCAAGTATTTATACCAATTTTTGGATATAGCTAAACAATTTTGTGTTTGCTGCCACTTTTGAGATTCATTTACCACTTTTTAGTAAATTTTATTATTTTTTTGGAGATAAAATTTATAATCTTTTTGAGTTGTATGCTATCAAAAAAGTAAATAGGCAATAGAGTAGTGTTTCCCTTAAAATAAATAATAATCTTACCTCCATCAATTTTTTTATTTTGGTTCAATAGTCAAGAATGTCCGAGTTACTTTACGTGTACATCGATTAATTTTTTTTCATGTCTGGTCAAAGATAGACTATTCACACTTGAACTAGAGTATTTATGAAAAATACTTTAAAAGATTGTCAATATTCAAACTTAAAACTTCTAAATTTAAAACTTGTTTCTGTCACATTTATTAAATTTTAAATTTCATATTTATAAGATTAATGAGTTTTACAAATTCTCATTAACTATTCGATCACTAGTAATGTCCCACCTCACATTTCCACAATAGAAAACCACTTCACAGGGGTACAGACGTCTTTTTCAGCCTTCAACACCACATGCTCATTTAAATAAAGGCTTAATTGCAAGTTATACCCTTAAAGATAGTTTGAATCTCAATTTATACTCTCAAAGATAAAAAATTTTAATTTACACCCTCAAAAATAGAAATTTATATCAATATGCACCCTTAAAGATAAAAAAATCTCAATTTATACCCTCAAAGATAAAATTTGTATTAATGTGCACCCCCAAAGATAACAAATCTCATTTTATACCTTTAAAAATAAAAATTTGTATTAATGTGCATCTAAAACTAAATTGATAAATTATACTTACATCCTATCATGCTTGTTATTTAATCATTTAGACCCCTTCACGTTTAGAATATTACTCTCACATCTCATGACGTTTGTGCATGTGTAACACATAACCCTTTTTCGTTAATGTATGTTAATATAACTTTTAAAAAATATAATTTTATCCTAATAAAAAATTATAATTTCATATTACTTTTTATTTTGTGGATTTGATATATTCTAAAGTTCAAAATCAAGTTTACCATTTGAATGTTTAATAAAATGTAAATATTTATATAATATTTTTTATAACCAATGTAATATATCACTCAATGTGTAACATTTTATTCTATTAGACATTCAAATGGTAAGTTTGATTTTGAATTTTAGAATATATTAGACCTGTAAAATAAAGGGTAATATGAAATTATAATTTTTTATTAGGATAAAATCATATTTTTTAACAGTTACATTAACAGGTATCAACGAAAAGAGATTACGTATTACACGTGCACAAACATAATGAGATGTAGGAGTAATATTCTAAATGTGAAGAGGTCCAAATGATTAAGTGACAAGTATATGAGATCTAGGTATAATTTATCAATTTAGTTTTAAGTGCATATTGATACAAATTTTTATTTTTGAGGGTATAAATTGAGATTTTTTATTTTTGAGGATGCACATTGATACAAATTTTAATTTTTAAGGGTATAAATTAAAATTTTTGATCTTTAAAAGTATAAATTAAAATTCAAATAATCTTTCATGGTACAATTTACAATTGACCCTTTAAATAACTTAAAATCTTTTTCAGATTTTAAGTTTATTTGTGGCATGAGAATAGTTACTTGGGGTGCGAGGCGTACGACCCACTTCTTCTTATTTCCCAGTTGGTTACCCAAAGAAGAATCGATCATCGGAAAAACTCCCATCTCTGCAATCTTCTTTTCTGGTCATCTTAGCTGTTTTCTTTTCATTCGAGGTACCTCTTTCTGTCCACAAATACTCGTAGATGTGTCTGTACATGCTCTGTTTTTTTTGATCTTTGAACAACTAATACAAGAAGTTTAACCTGTTGTGATATGATGCGAAATACCCTTGTTGATTTTGCGTACTTGGGCTTTACTTTGTTCACTTTTGTAACGTGTTTTATATCTATATGTGTGTGTGTGTGTGTGTTTTTTTTTTGTTGTTTGGTGAAAAGGGAAGGGGTTGGGTGGGGAACTAGTAAGTAGCAGCTCATAGTTTCCTGATTTTGCTTTTCTATTACGTTTGGTCACTGAGATTTCATATTAGGAAAATGCGAGACTTCAATTTTCAGTTTTTGTCCTTGTCCTTGGCCTTCTCGTTTAGTAAACAGAGTTAACTTTGATTTCAGAGCTGAAATGGTTTCTGGGTACTTCTCTCTGTATTTTTGGGATGGATAAGTTCTGGTGATGAGAGGATACCAACGGGTGCTCTTAAAAACAGTACACACACACACACACATATATATGTAGGTAAATATCAATTATTTTTCCCCAAAAAATGGCTCCTGGGTATCTACTAAATTTGGGTTTCTTGTAAACTATCTCCTTGTGGATACCCATTATCCAGTGGTGACCCTTTAGTGAGTTAGAGGAAGGTTGCTACGTGGGGAGTGGTTATAAGTAGTGAATAGCAATACATTTTAGATGAATAATTTGATTCCTGGGATGACTGTGGGCAAAACAGTTCACCTCACGCGTATATGGCCTTCCCCTGTGGTTAATCCTTGTTTTGCCTTCCCTTTCTGTAATTCATGTCAACTGTGGCAACTGAATTACCTGGGAAAGTTTCTCATCAGTCCTTTGAATGAGTGAAATTCCATTGTTGGAAGTACAAGGCTTGTCGTTTATCCATGTGCTTTTTTTTTTTCTATTTTTTTCATCTCTGCTGTTCTCTGAGACAATAATCATTAAGGGAAACTTTGCAATTTTTCATCAGTTTCCTTAGATACTAAGGAATGGAGCATGTTTCAAATACTCTCTCTTTCAGGCAAAGAAGGAGGAATTTCTGGGGAATATTTCACGTTGGGACAAGGTTTTGTTGAACTGAATTGACTTCAGTTGTATTGTGTTCTAGACCTCATGAGAACATTTGGTACACTCACTATCTAGTCCAAAGTGCAATTTTTTTGCATTTTGCATGTCTGCATCTGTGGCCATTGTTGACAACGTGGAAGGAGCGATTTCCTTGTCAAATAGGACAAAATCTCTTGATGCCCTATCATTTAATGGTAATGACCACCCAACCTCATTGATCAATGGTGGAATTGCTCGTACTTCTTCTGAAATCACTGTCTTTAGAGTTGGCGAGTTCTTACTGTCCAATGGGGAATCTTATTCTGGGGCCATGCTTGGCAACACTCCTGAGGGTTCAGGGAAGTATGTCTGGTCAGATGGTTGCAAATATGAGGGTGAGTGGAAACGGGGGATGAGGCATGGATATGGAAAACTTCAATGGCCTTCTGAAGCTTTGTATGAGGGAGAATTTTCAGGTGGTTACATGCATGGCAATGGGACATATATTGCAGCTGATAATCTGACTTATAAGGGACGGTGGCGGTTTAATCTCAAACATGGGTTAGGACTTCAAACTTATCCAAATGGTGATGTGTTTGAAGGATCTTGGATTCAGGGAACTCTGGAAGGACCTGGTAAGTACACATGGGCTAATGGAAATATGTATTTGGGAAACATGAAAGGAGGAAAAATGTCAGGAAAAGGAACCCTTACTTGGATCAATGGGGAGTCATATGAAGGAAGCTGGTTAAATGGCATGATGCATGGATTTGGAGTTTACACATGGAGTGATGGTGGATGCTACGTTGGAACTTGGACACGGGGTCTGAAGGATGGAAAAGGTTCATTTTATCCAAAAGGCAGCAAGCTTGCAGCCGGACAAGATATGTACCTTTCTGTTCTCAGAAAACGAGGGCTTCTGCCAGATTTAAGAAGGCAAAATCAAGTTTCACATATCCAGCATGCTTCTTCCGTAAATATGGGAAATTTCAAGATTGGTGGAAACCGAGGATCTCGTCGTAATTCATCTGATAAGCTCTCGAATGGAAGCCTGCTAAATCTTGAGCGGTCTCGCACCACAAATGTTTCCCTAGAAAGACGCTGGAGTCTTGAGGTATCTATCGAGAAAATTATTGGACATGATTTTTCCCTGGGTTTATCTGAGCCTGTTTTAGAAGATGGAGAAAATGAGGATGGCACTGAAACTCCAATCCTGGAAAGAGAATATATGCAAGGTGTCTTAATTAGCGAACTTGTATTAGACCATTGTTTTTCACCATCATCCAAAAGGGCAAAAAGGCGACAAAAGAGACTTGTGAGGGAGGTAAAGAGGCCTGGTGAAGCAATTATAAAAGGTCACAGGAGTTATGATTTAATGCTCAGTTTGCAGTTCGGAATTAGGTAAAATAGCTTTCTTGACTAACTATTTTTCCCTGTTGACACTGCTTTCATAGATTCCTTTATTACATCCGTGTGTCTTTTCAAAAGTTTTTATTTGTGCAAGTCTGGCGCATAGTTTTTGAAAAAATTATATCTTTATATTTTTTCCCTTGGAATCTCATTTAATTATTGATTGCTATGGTTTTTTTCGTTTTTGAGTTTTGTTTTTTTCATAGACTCGAGTCGACATAAATACCTCAATGTTCTAATCATGATGATTCTTTGTGATGGACTTGTCAATTCTATGTCTAGGGTTATGTTAAGGCTTCATCTTACAAATCATGGAGGATAATATATTTCTTTTGATTGTTAAACGTTGCAATTGTGGCTGCCGAATCATACATGGATCCAAAATTTTAACATTTGATTTCAAGTTAAGATTTGGCCATCAACATTTTCAGATCCTGGAACCTGATAGCCGAAGCGTACAAATACATAATTATTTCTATGGTGAACTTGGTGCTTTTAGGTGGGAGTAGGTTCTTCAATTTTATGGAGTTCTATATTTAAAATCATGCTGAATGGAAAGAAAATAGGATAGGTTTAATTCTTGTAGTTCGAAGTTCGAACAATAATTTTAAAGTGAACCCTTGTCATCATGTGACAGTCAAATAACTATTTTTATTTTTATCTTTTTTTTGGTTGTAAACAACTATTTTTATTAATTAGATCAAATGTCAAGATGCTAGTAAGTGCTGTTTAGCTGTCCACATTGGAGATGTTTTATCTATTCTTTTTGCAGACGTTGGAACCTTCTGAAATATAAATCAAACAAACAAGGACAAGAAGGTAGGGGATGAGTATTAGAGTGAGATTACAGAAGTACAGAGAGTTGGGAGAATTGTTCAGGTCAACCTTCTACGACCTCTTCTTATGGCACACTGCTAAAATTTTTTGTTCATGGAGAAACCACAAAGGAAATATTAAGAGGTTTTCGGTCTTTATTTGAGAATGACCTAGACCTATTTTTTGTTTTGTTTTCTGGGAAGGTGGGACACCAGTATGACCTTCAATCTCAAAAGGCTTCTCTGTGCAGGAATAAAAACGAATTCATTTGGTTTCTGTGCTTAGAGACTTTTACATGTGTTGCTTTCATCATTTAGTTAGTGAACTACTTGGATGCAACAGATTTAGACTTCAGCATTTGTTTCTTTCTTGCTTTGTCTTGTATCGTTGTACAGAAGAACAATTTGGAAAGCCACTGTCCGATGGTTGTAGCAGAAATTTTGATATTTCTGCCTTTGTATCTTGTAGTTTACTACTTATCTTTTGAAAGAATTGATATTCACCATTTGCTAGAATTTGATCAGATATACTGTGGGGAAAATTACACCCATTCAAACTCGAGAAGTACGAGCTTCAGATTTTGGTCCCCGTGCCAGCTTTTGGATGAATTTTCCTGGAGAAGGGTCCCAACTGACGCCCCCTCATCATTCAGAAGATTTTAAATGGAAAGACTATTGTCCAATGGTTTTCAGGTTGGTAGTCATCTTCCCCCACACTCTCTCTCCGTGGTACAATATTGTCTGCAGTTATCAGATTTTTTTTTTTAATGAAATTGCTTAAATTCATCTCACATTTGGTTGCAACAGTTGTTTTGAAGTTTGTTTTCCATGGTGTTCATAACATAGGATTCAAGGGAATAACTGGTTTTATTGATGCAGTTTTTCTTCACTATATGCAAATAAACTGCTGTTTTGTTCTAAATTGTAACAGATGTACTCAAACTATGCACACTAGGGCCCAAAGTTGATAACATGGTGATTTGTTTGGTTAAAGCAAGAAAATGCAGTAAAGAATACAGCGACCACTAGTTCAAAACTATCCAAAAGTTAGATTTTCCAACATGCCACATAAGCAGAGCAAGCTGAGTAATATTGGCCAGTAATCTCTATGGAAATTATGATGCATCTTTTCGTGTCAGGAGGGACCAAAATATGTAACTACTCAAGATGTTGTCTTACATGCTTGCGTAGAAAATCGTGGAGGATGCTCAACATCTAGCTACCTTGACCAAATGGATATGTGTCTTGGTGATGTAGGACAAAGTTGGAAGCGGCTAAGGAATGAGGAAATACTGAAAACAGGGGTTGTTTAGGGGGTTGTGAATAGTATACGTGAATAATAAACATGAACAGTGATCGTGAACATAGTTGTCAAATCGTGAATTAGAAGGTGTATCGATTTTTAAAAATGGTGTATCGTATTGTATCGTGTATCGTAAGATATGATATAATTTTAAATAATTAATAATAAAATATATATTTACAAATTTTAGGGTGTCTAGATGTAATTTATTAACGGATATATTTACAGTAGGAGTCTAAGTGTTACGCGTGTATAAATTTTAGGGGGTCTGTGTGTAATATTTCAAATATTAGACCAAAAATGAATATATATATTTATAAATTTTTTTTAAATTTGTCGGGTTCGGGTTGAATTTGTGAACCCAAGGCCTTAACCCGAGCCCAACCCAAATTGAATTCGGGTTGGAATTTTTTGACCCAAGCCCAACCTAAGTATTAAAAACTCTTGCCCAGGTCCTAATTTTTTCGGGTTGAAATCGGGTTGCCCAACCCAAGTTGCACCCCCCAGTGAGAATTATCTGTGTTTGGGTCTTGGACAAGGATCAAAATATCGTTGTGAAATGGTCAAAGCGTCCGAAACGTTTTCGTCTATGAGGAGAACGAAACGAATTAGTGATGGAATAAAAATTCTAATATTTCGAGGTATTCATAATGTTTTAAGATGTTTTATAATATTTCAATGTGTTTGCACAATTGTTTTGGAATGTTTCAAGATATTTTAAATTACTTTGATATATTTCGATCAAAATTTAAGAAAAATAATTTTTAATTTTATTTTTTCATTATGTTTCCGAAACGGTCGAAACGTTTTCAAAACACGAAACATTTCCATGTTTTGGGTTAGTTTGATCCCTGGTCTTGGGCTAGTTGGAAAATTTTGTATTTCTACTCTCTCTCTCTCTCTCTCTCTCTCTCTGGGAAGCCATCATTAAAGTCCATAGTTTTATGATTGAGAATGATTTTTATTTGGTATTTCTTCTAACTTGCTTTCTTCTCAGAACTCAAAAAGGTTGATTTACTTATATTGTAGGAACTTGAGGGAGCTGTTTAAGATTAATGCCGCTGATTATATGATGTCTATCTGTGGAAATGATGCTCTTAGGGAACTATCTTCTCCTGGGAAAAGTGGTAGTGTCTTTTTCCTGTCTCAAGATGACCGTTTCATGATTAAAACGCTCCGAGAAGCTGAAGTGAAGGTGTTCGATCTAAATTTTGATCTTGCAAATTGACACGTGTTTCAGTTCTTTCTTTTATATTCTTTGTTTATTCCCCCCTGTTTTTGAAACCTTGACCTATCTCAATATGGATCAAGCATGACTATTCCAAGGTATGGCACTAGGATAAATTCATTATTTCCTCGGATTTGACAGTGTGTACGAGACACACATTTTTCATGGATTGGCATAAAAAGTATTTTCCCTCCAAATTTTACGTCGTCAAAGAACAAAAATACCCTTGACCCTAGCAAGGCAAAAGACTTCTGAGTCATTAGTTTTCATAAAAAATACTATTGCTTCTATCAGTTGTTTCAAAAATTCTTTGATGTCTGATTAGTTGAATTTTATAACCTTTCATACCCATCCTTGACTATTTGTAATTTCCATAAGCATCCACACGTACACTTTAAATTGACTCAAACCTGTAATTTTTCCCACATTCAAACTTTGGGTAAATATGCAGAAGGTAACCCGAATGTTGGGTTCAACACTGACCTGGCAAGAACTTGAGGAGGAATTAAACTACCATGGTCTTTATGTGGCTGTGTTCAGAAAACATAACGTGGCAAAGACGATAGAATACAATGCAACTGCAAAGGAATATCATGGATAATTTACAAAAAAGGCCATTGCCTTGTGTGGTGCCGCTTATGCAGACTGTACCACTGAACAAACCGATGACCTCTAGTACGGATTATGAAAAAGAGCAGGAAGTCTCAGCAAACAAAAGAAATCAATTGGCCAGAACCTAACCGATTACTAATGAGTTCAGCATGTTACTCCGTCTGGCAAAATTGCTCTTTTGTTCTATGATATTCTAGGGGCTGGGGAACGTTTTGTTTTTTCTTTTCTATCCCTCCTGCATCAGTTTTCAGGAATAAATATCGCAACTGTATTTCTTCTATATGTTCTACGTGTAGCCCAGAGAGACAAACAAACTCTGTTCCTTATACCACTGACTACTATTCAGCGTTCAAGTATGTCATAGGACTAACATTAGTTATCAGCTTTTCTTGTTTCATGTTAGTTCATCCTCTATAAATTATGCTTAGCATTCATTTTTGGACATGTAACTGTCCATTACATCTCTCAATCAAGCTCAATTGCTTCAGAAAAGAAATCATTTTAAGTGACTCAAGATGCTGAGGTTCTAATGACCAGTGTAATTATGTATAGGTTCTTCTGGAGATGCTTCCGGACTATCACCATCATGTGCGGATGTATGAGAACACACTCATTACTAAATTTTTTGGTCTTCACAGGATAAAACCTTCAAGTGGCCAGAAGGTGATAAAATGTGCAATTATAACCGTATAGCAATCGATTTTCATTCTATTTATGATAATAGCTAACTTGATACATGTAATTGGTTCCTTTCACCTTTTCTTTAAAATTCTACAAGTCGGGTGATTTGTTACCAAATTTTTTTCATGAAACAAACTGACAAGAAAGTGAAGTGCTTGATGGACACAAGAAGATTATATGGGTGTAATAATTCCTGCTTACAATTTTTTTCCATCTGCAGTTTAGTTTTGTAGTAATGGGCAATATGTTCTGCACTGAAGTAAGGATCCATCGAAGATTTGATTTGAAAGGCTCCTCTCTAGGACGTTCTGCAGATAAGGTTGAAATTGATGAGAACACAATACTTAAAGATCTGGATCTTAACTATTGCTTTTATTTGGAACCTTCTTGGCGTGAGGCTCTATTAAAGTAAGTGGTACTTCATCAGCTATTACTTTCTTGTGGACTACCAGTCCGGTAATGTTAAAGCACTAAAGCTCTTTCATTGCATATCATTTGGCCAAAAAATCATGGAGATTCCAAGAGTTTTTATGGCAGTTTAATTTTATTTTGCTGATCAAATACAGTTGTTCAAGTTGTTACATTTGGACAAAAGCTGGTCTATGCCACTGAACTAGTAGACCTTGGATGAAGTATACAGGCTCAACTGAAACAGTTTAAATTTAGTGTAGCCGGATGAACTGGAAGCTTCCCTAAAACATTTATTCTAATTAAACCTTAACACCATAAAGAAAACTTGTGCAACGAGGGGGGATCAATAATATCAAAGCTTGGAATTTCATGAAAAAAAGTTGGTGAGCAAGTTTGACATCACAATATATATCAAAAGAATTATAAACAATTGTATGAAAAACACGGCACACATGTATTTATTTGTACAAAGTATTATACATTTGATATTAACTGCGGAACTGGATGGACAAACAAATATATCAAGAAGTGGTTCTAAAGAAGATTGTAATGTGCATGTGAGAGAGTGAGGGAACGAACGACCTATTATTCATTGTCCCATGCCATTAATTTTGTTTTTTGCATGTTAAGAAGAAAGTGAAATATTTTACAGACAGTCCTCCTCAGACCTCCAAAGATTCTGAAGACCAGTGGAGTCAAAATTCCTTGGTAATGACTTGGTTGTGGCTTATTATGGAACCTTTTATGGCCCCTAATGTTCAACTTTTTGATACAACCAAGAAGATATGAGACTCTCTTGAGGAGATGTACTCACAAGAACATAATGTGTCCCAGATTTATGAACTTTTTGAGTGTATGTTTACTACTAAGCAAGGCAATAAATATTTGGCTAGACACTATGGCACTTTGAAAGAATTGTGAGAGGAACTTATGTTGTATCAACTACTGAGTGAAGATTTGGAGATTCAGCGGAGATAGCAGGAGGTTGCATTGATCTTGTCAAGCCTCAACTCAGACTCAGAGTATGATGTCTCTAAGGATCACATTTTTGGCTAGTGAGACACTTCTGGCTGCTACAAATGCCTACTCCCATCCCCAGAAAGCTTCTTTGACTCGATGGCAACCTTCAACTTCCCAGGAATCCTTTGCCTTACTCACTAGTGATGGTTCATGAAGTGTGCAAGTTAGTATATAATTAGGCTTTTCCTGGAGGATGGTTGTGAGCCCCAATCCCAATTCTGAAGTTGAATTCTGGCATAATTCGGAGTATGATTTGCTGTGGTCTATCAAGAATTATTTCAATTTGGTTAGTTGGTGCTAGATATAATAAGGGTTAGGATTGACCATTTAATGGTATGACTGTGCGAGCTTTCATCATAGGTGTAATTAATGCATTCTAAGGGTTAGGATTGTATCCTTTGTTCTGCTCGGAATGTTCTGTTGTTCTAGTTTTTGGGAAGACAGAAATAGTGGTTTCTTTTTGGGAGGAACAAAGATTTTGGGATTCGGATACAATGCCTCCCATTCCAGATGGGCTCCTTATTGATGGAGGTCTTGAATGTCCTTCAAATATAGAGCAGTGCTGTCCATCTACATCATCTTCTGAGGATATTGCTTGAAGAGAAGAAACAGTCAAAAAAGTAGCATTGTGTCATGACTATTGTCGGTTAACATCATTCTATTGTCTGCATCTCCTTATGGAACCACTCTGGTGCAATGAACCATATATGGTTTATCGCTGTAAACAACTTGACCAATATATGGTAATAAGAACAGTAAACCAAGAGTGAATGTTCCTCTCTGATTTCCAAAAGGTGCCATTATTTAGTCTTCAAAGAAATCGTCCTAAGCCTGAAATCTTTGAGGTTTTATAAGCAATTATACATATGGACATTTAGGGAACATATGGAAATGGAACTTAAATTTCGGTAGATATTGAATACTCATCTTCATCTTGTCAATGTCTGCTACCAAAGTCATGAAAAAACAATAATAAGAAGAGAACAATATTTTATCTAGAAATCTTTATTGATATTAATTCTAAGCAGGGTTCAAAGTATCGGCCGAGTGCGGTTGCGAGTTAAAAATTTGACATATTAGCGTGAAAATGATGATTTTTGTAATCCAATTGATCTGAACTACAATTTTAATGATGATGATATATTAGATGAGTGGATAAGAGAAGGGGAGGAATCAATTTTACCACCTGATAACTTAGGTTGGCTGGATGAAGGTATTCGTGACATTGAAGATGGTGGAAGTGGAAGAGATGTAGTTGATGAAGGTGACACTAATACGGCACCAACATCTAGCAATTATGCCACTACCAGAAGATCTGGAAAAAGATACGAGGCCAACCAATAAGGGTAAAAAGGCTATGAAAATTTTTGTCACTTCTAGTGATTCTTCTTCTGATGATGATAATGATGATCATGTTGCTGATACTTATGGTGGTGGTGGTGGTGATGGTGATAGTAGTAGTACTGATGATGATGATGCTAGTAATCATGGTGGAGATAATGATGAGAGCAACAAGAATGGTGGTGGAGGGACTACTGGAGATGGTGGTGATACTCAGCTACCTGACGGTATGTCATGGGCACAGGGGCAAGACAATTATTATGCCACATAGGATACAGACCATGGATATAGACCAGGGGCAATGAAACAACGGAGGAATTTAAACTCTTTCATTGGTGATGATTATTCCCATAGACGCTACCATCATTCACTTGGTCGACAAGATATTGATGATCATATGCAGAGTTTGGGATTGACATCATATGAAGGATACATGCCTTACGGACATCATCAAAGTAGTGGTATAGAATTTAGCTATGCACATGGATCATATGGATATGGTATCCTTTTGCAGTTTCCGAGGTTTACTAGTACTAATAGTGCTGGGCATTATGGCCATCGCCCTACGCATCTTGAGAGATCTACTAGTACTAGTATCGGTGGCTATTATGATCGTGTTCCAAGGAGACATCATGATGGATCTTCTAACACGATATCAGATAGTGTCAACTTTTATGGATATGATCAGTCTTCTGCTAGTAGTGGTCGTGAATATTATGGTTTTGGATACTATCAGTATGGGAACCAGCCAGTATAACTTCCACAGTCACACTACTCTAATTATGGGTCATCTAGTCAATCGACTCAACCAACCCAATCAGACCCGTATTCACACTTGTACTTTTATTCTTATGGTGGACAGTACCCTAATTTGTATTATTCTAGAGACAATAACGATGATTTTGAGCCTCATCGTCGTTCAATGTGGCAATGATTATGGCTCAATATGTTCCTAAATGTCTACATTGAACATTGATAATGATAATTATTTTCGCTCGCGATTTTATGTTTCATTTTAATTATGTTTAATGTGTTTTTAGATGTATTGTGAATATGTGATGCATAAATGATAATGTCTATTTTTTTAGAATTTTCTATAATTTTTTTGGAGTTTCTATCTTGCGTTTTGAGCGTATCGGCCGATACCACGCCGCGACCGATGTGTATCAGCACCCTCCGAGTTGATGGCCGATACCGATACTTTGAACCCTGATTCTAAGAGACTGCAACGAGCCTTTGGTCCAATGGTATTCCTTACCTTGTGAAGATTTTGCCTTCTTGATGGCAATGGTTCAAGTCTCCCCTCTCCTCTCCCTCCCCCCCCAAAAAAAAAAAAATTATTAATTCTAAGAGACTGCAAAGGAAAATACTAATCAAAAGCACGACAGACACATCAAGATGAAGAGAGAGAACAAAAACTGATTTGTTATTTACAGCTTATATTTATAAGCAAAATTGCTGTTTATTGGATGGTGTTTTACTTTCTTATTACATCTACCTTTGGCAGGCAGATCGAAACTGATAGTAAATTTCTAGAAGAACAGCACATCATGGATTACAGCCTTTTGCTAGGTGTTCATTATCGGGCTCCCCAACACCTGAAATCTCGCATGTCTTACAATCGAAGTTTAACAGATGGGTTAGGAATCGTTGCAGAAGAAGGTCAGCTCCATATTTAATTACCTTTTTTGTTGGTCATTCGCTCGAGCCTTCATCAACACTTTCTGACTTTTATGTTTTATAACACATGTATTGTTTGGTATGAATGTGGTCTTTAGATGGTAACAATTTAAATGGTGTCTACTAAAGAATGATATTGCAGAAACAGCAATTTAACGATGGGAAAAATTTAAGACAGAAAAATTATTACTTGTTCTACAAAGTGAATTAGACAGAAATTGAAGGAATCCAGCTTCATATGACTAATCTATATATGCAGTAGTCCATTTCCAATATTGTCATGCCCTGTAGTTGGAATGGAATGATTGTTTTGGGCAGTTTATACTTTATCCAATGCAATCCTACGCAGCTATCTTTACATAATACAGGGGTTACTTGTGAATTGGTGGTCATGATGAATCCTCTGATTACTGTTATGCTGATATTGCCTTGTATTGGCTGTCTAAAAGACCTACACCACAACATACACTTGGCGATGATTATTAATCAGAAAACAGTGCTTGACCTTGATCAGTTGGTTCTCGTCAATGGTTTTGGACCTTGGGTCAATTGCTAGCTCACAAGGAAATATCATTTTCTTTAGGAATATTGTAATGTAGGACGAATCACTAAGATTTGGTAATTGCTGATATCCAATCTGTATTTAAGATTCCATGCGATTTGTGTTACTTACCTGGTGTCTACTTGGTGATTGTTGTCTAAGTTTTAACTGTTATAAGTTGATCACAGAATCTATGGAGGATGAAATCTCTCCAGAAGGCCTTGTTTTGATCCCTCGTGGTAGTGATGACAACAGTGTTGTTGTGGGACCCCATATCAGAGGTAGCCGACTGCGAACATCATCTGCAACTGGTGATAAGGAAGTGGATCTCCTTCTTCCTGGTACAGCAAGGTGTGATCATTAAAACTCCAAGAAGATTACTTTCATGTTGCCATTTACTCTGCCTGTATTTTAGGATTAAAACAGTTGCATTAGAGAAAAGCTTAGATAATAGAAGCTTAACCCCTTGGAGAAATGGAGAATGCTCTAAAAGTTGAATAGCTAATGCAAACATGTGGAAGATGAACTTGATCAATCTGCACAGAAAGAAATATTCAGAAGCAAACACTAAATGAAGCATCACTCCATTGAAAATTCAAGAAAAAATTGCCCCAAAAGTGGGAAAAAAAAATGCAGACGGTTTATATTATATGACAATAATTAGAATTTGGTTTTACTTTTGTCTGGTTAAGCAGACTCCAGATCCAGCTTGGAGTGAACATGCCAGCAAGAGCAGAGCATATTCCAGGCAAGGAGAAAACGACAATGTTTAACGAGGTATACGACGTTGTATTGTACCTGGGTATGATCGACATATTGCAGGACTACAACATAAGTAAGAAGATTGAACATGCATATAAATCGATTCAATTTGATTCTCTGTCCATCTCTGCCGTGGATCCAACATTTTACTCCCAGCGCTTTTTAGAATTTATTCAGAAGGTGTTTCCCCCAACACTGTAGCAAGTTAAAAAAACGCCTCAGAAAGCTTACTTTGCCTCTGGTGAGAGTTTCCATTTTTTCCCCTTCCCATGCCAAACAAGATGGTTAAGACATCTCAAGAACAGCCAGACGGAATTCTTTTATGATGTTTACTTGGCGGAAAAAAAAAAAAAAAAAGCAGCATATTTGGTGATGTATGTATTGTAGGGTACAAGAAACTGTTTTCAGCTTGTTGGAACCCATTGAAAATATGTTGTCTAATAGTGTTTCTTTTTCACTTTTAGTTTGTCTTTTCAGGTTATTCTAAATGGCTTCATCACCACATGCACCTAAGGAATAAAATTTGGTTTCGTTTTCGTTTTCAAGAAGATTAAAATAAATCAGGATAAAATTGAAATTCTAATAAAAAAGGTGTTCCATGATTTGATGTATTTATAAAATTGTTTTGGAATGTTTTAATGTGTTTCAAGGTACTTGGGTATATTTTGACCAATGTTTAAAAAAAATAATTTTCAAGTTTTTTATTTGTCATTATTTTGTTTTTCGAAACAAGTAGAAACGTTTTAAAATAAGTTGAAATATTTTTGTTTTTCAAATAATTAAAATAATGCACCAAAATGAAAAGTTGATCCTTACGTGCTTTTTTTTTTTTTTTTTTGACAATTTTTTTTTCTTTTGACTTTTATTGTTAATTTGATTTGTTGACTTAATTCACCATAATTTTTAAATTGACAGTGAGTCTCATCAAGTAATAGAATTTGGTGTCAATCTAATGGTTAATGGTTAATGTAATTATATCATTAAATTTATAAATTAGATTAATTTTTTAGATCTAAATAATATTATTTGAAGAAAAAAAAAACCGGGAGGAGTTGTATGGATACATTGGTACCCGGGTACATCTCCACCATCTCTTCCCGTCCTTGCACTGGATAGTCGCTTCTGTGGGCGCCTATGGCATACATTTGGTTGGAAAAGCTTATGAACCGATGGCTATGGTTTTTTTTTTTTTTCAAATAAAAATGTAAAAGCATGTTTGATTATTATTTTTGCGAAAGTGATTTACATACATTTTATTATGTAGACAATTCATTAATATATTTGCATGTAGATCTAACATGACTGGCTACTTACAAGTATAGCCAAATCAAGACGAGACGTGACGGACGGTCAGAGGCGGAATTGGGCCACCACTTGGGATGGGAATGGCTCAGCCCACATGCATCATTTGATGAAAACACTCCAGTCCAGTCGCCTTCTCGAAGTGGTTTGTCAACCACGGAACAAGAAAAAGAGCAACAAGCTCTCTATTTTCACTAAACCCTCTATTTTGGAGAGTCGACCACAAAAAATTTATCTACAATAGACTCTATTTAGACTAGATAAAATAGTCTAATTTGACTCTTCGAGAATTAACGGTTAGCCTAATGACTATTGCAGCCCACCGTTGAACTGTTAGGTCGCGAGTTGAAACTCCACCTCTCCCCTATAAAAGAAACAAAGATTGCTGATGAGTGTCCCCTATTGCTATAATATTCAATCTTTTTAAGATTGTTTAGATGGTTAGCCTCCAAATGATGAGGGTGATAACTATAGAGATAATATGAATGCTTTTTTAATAAAAATAATAATAATAACTATAGAAGCTATTTTTCTACTAAAGTAGAGAACTATATTGGAGTTACTAAAAAAATTCATTTTGTGTTTTTACTTTTTATCAAAAATGCTCTCCATATTAAAAAAAAGATGCTCTCTAACATTAAAAATGTAAAACATTGCACGGAGAGGTATCCCAAACATGAAATACAGACATTATCTTATAGGTTTTCTACAGCCAATGGCAACTTCAGCACCAAACAAGGGACAACTGTTTAGAGGGAATAAAGTAAGAGGATGAAAAAATAAGGCGAGAATCGAGTGCTTAAGCTTTACTAATCAGCTCCATTTTCCCATTTAATCAAGAACAAGACCTCTGACCTTGAATGTTTTGTTTTGCTGTAAAGTTCTATCACATATCGGCTTGATGATGTAGAGTGCACGGCAAAAATACCTATTATCCCATGTTGGAAGGGGGTGGCGGTGGCCGAACCCCATGCCCCTGCATCTGTTGGCCTGGAAATACTGGCAGAGGCGGCATTGGAGGTCTTGCCATCTGTGCCCCAGGAGTAAAATTAGCCATTGAACCACCGCCCACTGAGGGTGGCGGTGGGGCAGGTAGGTTTCCACCTGGAGGCATGGGCCTAGGTCCATTTGCCATTGGAGGAGGGGGTGGTGGCAAAGACCCAGGCACAGATGGTGGAGGGCCTCTAGGAGGATTACCCATTTGAATTCCTTGTGGCGGAGGTGGAGCTTGGGGTGGTGGGGGCAAAGGCCTGGGTGGGACACCAGGTGCTGCTGTTCCATTGGCTGCAGCAGTGGGTTGGGCTTGCTTTGTCTCCGGTGGCTTAGATTTGAAGTATAACTGCAACTGCACATTGATTCATCCCATAGATGATAGAACTAGGTCAGATCAAATTCACAAATAAAAACACCACCACATAATTGTAACAGCAACAATAATTAAAAACTTATTTTTAAACCATACAATACAGATTATGCCAGGGGAGGTAGATTGATCCAGCCCAAAACAGATAGTAGGCGGTTTAGGTAAAATTCGTTAAAGTCAGTAACGTTTAATTCATGTTAGCCAGGAATGAAGACCAAGAACCAGCCACCAAATTCGCTGAACAATTTTTGGGGATTACAACAAACTTCCAGGCCCACACTGTGCAAGTGAACTATCCAGACCAGGCCACCCCCCACCCAATACACACACCAAAAAAAACCCCCACAGTGGAGTACTTTGGCTCACGATGACAATGAAACAAACTAATCTAGGTTTTGAGCACAATAGCATCTAAGTACATATATACGTAGTTATTTCGGAAGTCATAGGGGGAGAAGGTTAAGTAGACCAACCGTAAACATTTTTGAGTCTGGATCCCAATGAGAGAAGAACTTGGAAGTTGATTTGTCAATTTCCGTACTTGGAACCTGAAATATACATGTGCACGGTCACATCTCATTAATTACCAATTCCAACCTTACATATACGCACACAGAGAGAGTTTAGCAGTAACTGAATGACCAAATTACCTTAAAAGAGATGATTTCGTACGGTTCAGCCGCAAACATAAGAAACTGGTATCTTTTATCAAAGGATTGGACTTTCTGCAAATGAACAAGTAAAACACTTGAAGATTAGGATACCAGGCTATCGGAAGAAAGTAAAGAAGCAATTTGAATTTAATTCTCTACAAGTCCAAATAAAGTAGAAGACCATTTAGAGGTAGAGGAACAACAAACAATACTAGTCTGGAACAACAAACAATCACTAGTCTATAAAAGTGTACTTGAGCATGAGACTTTGATAATAGCATAGCACACCTGCTCAAAAGATGACATAAAACGATGCCTCGGCTTAGTATTGTCTTCAATCTCAGGATATTCAATCTGCAATAGAATCAAAGTCAACCAGACGGAGAGGAAAGGGGGAAGAAAAAGAGAAACTACTACATGTTAACTTGTATCTGTGCTCTTTTCCTAGACATGTTCGTCTTTTATATTTGATGTCTACATATTGAAAGCCCCGCTCTTTGCTACACTTCTTCCTTCTTTTTTTTTGGACAAAATTCACATTGACAAAAGACAAAGAAGAAGAATGACCAACAAGATCCTCTGAAGCTGTGATCATTAACTGAAAGAGACCGTCCTCCCACTCAAAAGTTTTTTTACTACCTTCTTTACCTTGGAAAACAGTTAAAACGACTCAGCTGATTTTTGAGGTCTTGAATAAGTGGCCATAAGATCCATGAACCATGCCCATTCCTTCAATCACTTCAACATTCCTCAACTCTCCTTCAATATGGAGATTCTCAAAACACACTGGCCAAGTCATTTTTTATGCCTTTCATTGAGCCTTTTCTGATGCCATTACTATTCTTTCACTAACTTATCCAGTAGTGGAATTCGATGATTAACTATCCCTGAATGGCTTTTTGTATGTTTGTGTTTGAGTAGGTTGTTTCAAGTGCTAGGAACTACAATTTCTAGATAATTCATTGCATTACGATGTCTGTAATGGTGAGTCAATGCAACCCATTTCATATCAGAAATCAAGTCATTGAGTCATGCGTTAGGTGATTTAGTTTAGTCCATGAAGATAAGTTCATCGGGTTTAGCTAACATGGCTTGTTTCTCTCCCAACTCATTTTAAAGGTATCAAACCCCTTTTTCCTTGTATCCGAGGGTATGACAATCTATTTAGCAGCTTAAAGAGATGCAAATTCTCTAAAATTAGCACCATGAAGAACTTGCCTTCACATGCCTAGTACTTCTAATAACAAGAAAATGACTTGATACACATTTCTACTGCAAAGAACAAGATCCAGAGTACAGACCTGGAAGAGAAGAGACCTCTGCTTTGTCTCTGGATCAAACTGCTTTGTCACTCGGTAACCAGGCCTACCAATTTTCACTGCAAACCACCAGAAAATAAAATTTACGACATGCAAATTAGGAAGTGAGCATCCAATCACTCACAACCCATGATCAACATATTTGAACCATAAATTAGGTATCCAATTGAACAATAACAACATAATAAGTCCTTTCTATTATTGTTAGAACCCAATTATTTTACCTGATTTTCGGAGAGTGACTTTTCGCTTGTGAGGCTGAGGCTGAGCTGGTGCTTCCTTGGCCTCGCGAGCAGCTCTCTTGGCCAAGTTCGTCTGGTGCCGCTTCCCCTGTGTATGGGCCAAGTAATTCCCCTCATTGTTGTGCAGTGTCAAACAAAGCTTGCACTCATAACTTCAATATCCCAATTTTCACAACAAAATCAAATTCAACTAATCATTTAAACACACACACACACAAACACATATATATATATATATATATAGAGAGAGAGAGAGAGAGAGCGAGAGAGAGAGGTAATTGGACCTGCCGAGATGGTTGCGCATGAAATAGGGATCTTTGGCGAGATCGATGGTTTCGAGGGCGAGTCTCCGCAACCGTTCACGGCGGTCGATGGCTTCGTTCTGGGCGGAGGCGGCGCCTCCGCTACCGGGCTTCGAACCCCATTCTCTGTCCATCTCTTCGTCTGTCTGCTTCTTTACTGTCCCAGTCCAAGATAACACTTTCTCGCGTTCTCTTGGAAATAATACCAACGAGAGAATGGAAACAGGTTGATGGGTGTGTTTGGCTACTAGGTTAAAGAGGGTTAAGGGTAACTCCAAGTTAAAATATATTTAAATATTATATTATATTTTAATTAATTATATTTAAAAAATCACTTTAACTACGTTCTTCAATCACTTCTTATTTTTTAACAAACTTTTAATAATATAATTTTAAAATGTTACGTGGCTGGATACATCGCTGTCATAGTGATGACTTGTTGTGCCATATTATAATTTTTTTTTTAAATTTTACAAAGCTCAAATTTTTTAAAATGTATAAATATGACATTCTTCCACTTATTGTCACTAGCAATGCACAACATGCATTTCACGTAAATTTTTTTGTTAAAACATTTAATAAAATACATAAAAAAAATTTAATTATGTAGTTACATTAGATATTATTTCATATTTATCATACTTAAATTGTTTGTATTCTCCTCATAACTATAAACATTCAATGAACTCATTTTCTATGATCCTTTCATTTGAATTACTAAGTAGTAAGGTTTATAGATTTTTCTTTTCTCGATTTTTTCTTTCTTATTTTTACTTTGCCCATTAATAATTTTTTATCAAATTATTTTGATTGTGAATGGACAGATAATATAAATATATCCATTTTTGGGCATTGGAGATGATATTATATTAATAGAATTGTCAACGTGTATTAATATTGAAATTTTGAAAAAAAAAATAATATTATTTTTATATATCATGTTAAGTATAAGATGACCATTTAAATTTTTTGCAAAAATAGAGAGATTTGCATTATATATTAGAAATTAGTTTGTCATTTAAATACAAAGGGATATAATGATAATTTGTATATTTAAATACAAAAAGACATGTTAGTCTTTATAGTTTTTTTATAAGGATAAAATAGTAAATCAAAAATTTTTCATGTTAAAGTACTTTATTAGTCGTATAGATATAAATATCTCAAATTTGTTTACTGTCATTACACTCATACATTATTTCTTTATTATGGCTCATCATCCTGCATTGAAAATGATTTTAAACGATTTTGACTCCGATGATGAATTGAAGATGTTAGCGGTTGTTACTATGGCAATGGAGAAACTCAGTACCAAGAACAGCTTTGCAATACGCTGTAATTCTATTCAATGTCATTATGTTACTTTCCGCAATAGAGTTCAAGGCACAAGTGACTTTATCGTGATTATTTTGCTAAATCTTCTTCTTATCCCCAAATTTATTTCAGATGAGGTTTTGAATGAATCGATCTCTTTTCATTTGTATTCTATCCATGGTGAAAGCTTATGATCCATATTTTGTTCAAAAAAGGGATGTTCTTGGGAATATTGATTTTATCTTCCCTTTAAAAGATGATTGCCGCTATAAGAATGCTTGTCTATAGAGTTACAATAGATGCTATTGATGATTATGTGAGGATCGGATAAAACACCTCTCACACCCCGAAATTTTTTTCTTTTAAAAAAAATATCCAGGCGTGAGTAAGGAATAAAATTACACCAAACTTACGATAACCTTCTTTCTATTATTATATTCTGCATACGAGTACATAATCCTGATATGATCATTTCAAATATTTTTGATACTACATAAAGAGAAATAATAATAGCAGATTCTATCCATGGTCCTTTCAGACTATCATCTGGCCCGACTTCATATATCTAAAAAATGTTAGATAGGGATGAGTTCACTAGCTCAGTATGATAACGTTTATCAATGGCTACCAAAGTTTTAAAATAATGCATAATATAATTAAATAACGGATAAATGCAGGAATATGACAAAGTAATGAATCAAATAAATAAATAAATTTCAGCACATATCGATTATATCAATCTGTTAATTTTCTGGTTTACGTATGAACCGCTTCCGGAGAAAACTTTGAGGTCTTGCACTATAGGGAACCCAATGCTCTTCTTGCTTTTTTGGAAACACCAATATTGAGAATTATGTGGTGTCACACAGGCTACCACGACAACCGATATTTCTAACCAGTGAACCCAAGGACTAGTAAAAATTCTGTGAATCCTCGCAAGGATCACACATCTACTAACCCTCTGCCTTCGATTATGTGCGCATTCATAGTAATTTCATCAAAATCACAAAATAAAGTCATATCGTAGTCAGACCCCAAAATAAATCAAACATTAAATATTAATAATAAAAAAATATTTATTATGCAACATGGTTTCATAAGATAATTAGGATTTCAATAAAAATATAATATGTGCATGACCACGATTTATTTAAAATTTTCAGTTTGACCCCATGATTATAACGATATAATATTACATTAAATAATTAAAAATAGATTTGATATGAAACCCCCAAATATACATGAAATGAATCAATGATAGTAAAAGATAAAAGAAATCCTACATTTGTCTTGACTTCTACTTGATATCGTGTACTGCGATAAAATAACAAAAATAATATTTTTTAGAATAACAGTAGATAATAAGAGCTCACTTAAGTTAAAATAATTTCTAAAATAACTAACAAAAAAATAATGATACTTAAATTTGATTTAAAAATATTTAATGAGGATCAACTTTAAGAAACTCGAACTAATAAATTTTACTAAATAATAACTAAAAACTTTACCCAAAATTTTGATCGTAACCGCGATCTATTAGGTCAACAAAATTTTGACTCCTTTTCTCTCTTTCCTCTTTTTTCCTTCCCCTCTCTCTCCCATTTCCTTTCTTCCTATCTGCCATGCTTGTTGCTTGGCTTGGCTTGACTATTTATAATCAAGGTTACTTGGTGCCCAAGCATTTTATGGACACTTGTTCATGTTATTTGTCTTATATTTTTTTTATAAGTGCACGTTTCAAAAATCTTTGTGAATCTAAAGTGAGAGTTGTCATTTCCCTTAGATATGTCCCCTATATATATAATATTTACATTTGCTCGTTCACACACACACACACACACATATAATTATTATAATTTTTGACCTAGGTTATAATCATTTGATTCGTTTTTACACGAAGAGTCTATATTTGAGGTCCATTTGTTCATAAAAAAAAATTATTATTTATTTTTTTATATATATATTTGAAATAAATCTCAATTATATAAAATCAAAATTGATGACCTAATTAACGTATTCATGATTATATATATATATATATATATATAGATCATCACAATCTATCTCCCTTAAAAAGAATTTCGTCCCCGAAATTCGATACTAACCTTGAGCATTAAAAAGATAGGGATATCTTGTACGCATATCTGCTTCCAGTTCCCACGTGACTCCTTCCACACTATGATGTTGCCATAACACTTTTATGAGTGATATGACCTTGTTACGCAATACCTGTTCCTTTGTGTCGAGAATTTGCACAGGTTGCTCTTCGTACGTTTCATTTTCTTGAATTCGGACATCTTTCCAGTCGATGACGTGAGACGCATCTAGGTCACATTTCCTTAACATGGATACATGAAACACATCATGTATTCCTGATAATTGGGCTGGCAAGGCAAGCCGTTTAGCTACATTTCTAATGCATTGTGTTACCTCGAAGGGTCCAATATATCTGGGAGCCAACTTACCATTTTTCCCAAATCCAGATATTCCTTTCCTAGGGGAACCTTCAAGAATACATAATCACCCACTTGAAATTTCAAGTGCCTTCTCCTTTGATATACATAGCTCTTTTGTCAACTTTGAGCCGTGCGTAGCCTATCCCGAACTACTTGGATCTTTTCAGTGGTTTCTCGGACAATTTTTGGACCAAACAAAATGCTTTCGCCAGCTTTGGCCCAACATAGAGGTAATCTACAAGGTCGTTCGAACAGAGCCTCATACGGAGCCATGCCAATACTGCTTTGATAGCTGTTATTGTAAACAAATTCCACCAGTGAAAAATGTTTATTCCAACTACCTTTGAAATCTAGAGCGTAAGCTCGCAACATATCTTACAATATTTGGATCACCCTTTCAGATTGGCCATTTGTTTGAAGATGGTAAACAGTACTGAAATGCAACTTGGTTCCCATGACTTTTTGTAAACTCTGCCAAAATTGAGCCACAAAGCAAGTATCTCGGTCTGACACAATTGATAATGGTATCCCATGTAATCTTACTATCTCCTGTATATAAAGTTGACTTAACGTGGCTAGAGTGTCATTATTCTTCATGGCAAAGAAATGGGCCGATTTGGTGAGTCGATCCACTATAACCCATACTGCATTGTATCCATTTGTAGTTCTAGGCAAGCCAATCATGAAATCCATAGTGATATGATCCCATTTCCACTCTGGAATGGGTAAGGATTATAACAATCCACCAGGTTTCTGATGCTCCACTTTTATTTGCTGGCATATGACACATCGAGCTATAAATTTAGCAATATCCTTCTTCATTCCTTTTCACCAATATTGACGTTTCATATCTTGATACATTTTCGTGCTACAGGGATGTAGGAAAATCTTAGAGCGATGACATTCCCTGAGTATCTCTTCTTTCACCTGGGTATTATTAGGTACACACAGCCTTCCTTGATATAGTAATTCTCCTTTTCGCAACCACCAATTTTCAAGCGTATGCCCATCTTCCAGCTGGGTGTGAATGGATTCTAAGTAGGAATCCGAATGTTGTAATTCAACAACTTTTTGTCAGAGGACAGGTTGAGCAACGAGATTAAACAACATGATTGACCTTCTTCTATACCCATCTAGATGTCAAAGTCTTCTAGTGCCTCCCTCAATCGCCATTTGTCCTTCATCACGTTGATTATTGCACTTTGGGATTTTCTGCTCAATGCATTAGCTACCACGTTAGCTTTTCCCAGATGGTATTGAAGTGTGAAGTCGTAATCCTCAAGATACTCTATCCAGCGTCGTTGTTAAAGATTCAAGTCTTTTTGAGTGAATATATACTTGAAACTTTTGTGATCCGAGAAAATCTGAAAAATTTTCCCATAAAAATAACAACGCCATAACTTCAGAGCAAAAACAACAGCTGCGAGTTCCAAATCGTGGGTGGAATAGTTTCGTTCA